GGTAGGCTCAGTAAAAGTCAAGCCCCATCCTTAGAACCTGTGAATGTTGCCTTATCTGGTAAAATTAACTCTGCAGATATAATTATAAATATTAAAGTGGGTCTGTTGGCCTGGAATTTCTAGGAGAGCTTGATATAATCATAAAGTTGTAATAAGTGAAAAAGAGAAGCTGGGGAGAAAATCCCCACTGGCCACTGCTGGTTCTGAAAACGTACAGGGCTGCTATAAGCCAATGAAAACATACAGCTGCCCCTAGAGTGTGTAAGGAAAGCCAGGAAGCAAAGCACCTAGGACCTCCTGAAGAGACATCCTGCCCACATCCTTTTTAATCCAATGGAAAGTCATTTGGGAATTCTACCCTCCAGAACCCATATTAAAGCTGCTGCAGGTTGAAGCCATTTAACATAAACTAATAAACATTTATTTTAAAATTATTTTCTCCTATTTGTGTTAAGATTTCTAACCATCAATTAGCAAATTATGGCAAAATGCAGCCTGAGCAAAATGAGTGCTCGGTTAGCCTTAGTTCAAAGGCTCAAATGCCACTTGGGATCTTAACTCACCCGTGCTTTACCCCAGGAAATCACAGACTGGGTAAATCATGCTAAGACATGTGACCAAGGAACATGTGACCTAAGAATATGACCAATACACTCCATTTCTCTCACGCGAATTTGTTGGTCTTAAATGCTCCCAGGCAATGAGAACAAACAACAAAATAAAAATTCAGATTCTGGCTGGGTACTCAACTTCATGTTTAAAAGCTTACAATCAACGTTTGTAAGCTTTACCAAATTCTAGAAGGTGTCTATTCTATTTCCTAAGTCACTCACTAAATCCTATAAGGCAGGCCTTATAGTTCCTGCTCTTGATACATTTCATAAGCCTCAGGTTCTAAATGAAAAGAGCCCCAAATAAACACTTAAGCAGAAGATCTACTTCTACCAAAATACAAAAAACAAAAATAAACATGCCTAGGTCACCAGGACAGCTGAGCAATAGATTCTGCTGCAATACACTGCCAGTATCACTTTCTAGCACTTATTAGATTTAACAAATCATATGCTGAATGGAAAATTAAATATTACAGCCTTGGACTTGCTTTTCGATACCATTCACTTACTTTTAATCTCATATTTTTACTAGTTCTTTATCTTTAACTGGCTGCAGATACTGGACATTTATGAAGAATATATTCCAGCATAATTTTACATAATTTAGCACACATTTACACATGACAAAGTAAAGGGACAGTGAAGAAAGTGCAGAACACGAAGAAAACATGAGGACTTTGCCCCCTACTGTGTTCACAGCAGTTGGACTCAGGCGGGGTGAAAGGCTAAACACTGGACATCAACCTCAAATAGGCTTCATCTGTATTAATGCTTCCTTTCGGAGGAGTGGAAACCCTGAGAAGGTGGAGGTGGAGGGGGACTGGGTCAAAAACAAAAGTTCACTCTGCAGGCAATGCAGAAGGCAAGAAAGGTTTCAGATGGAGCAGACTGCACAGGAAGGAGGGCCACAGGGAAAGGCTGAAAGGAAGGAGCAGAAAATCTTTAGCAAAAAGCCTGTGTGAGGCAGGGGCCCTGGGGGTAGGGGGTCGGGTGGGGTGAGCAGTGGAGGATTGAAGAAAAACTCAACATATTCAAAACACAGTTATCCAAGCAGTGGCTTCCATTAGAGTAACCACTAATGCAAATCGACCAGGGGCAGAGAAACACACAGTTCAGCTGGAAACGGCAGGTCTACTTGTCCAAGGAAACAGCCTTTTTGATAACCGAGGCTCTGGGCCAACAGTAAGGAAAAGGATAAAGCAATGCAAAATTAAAAGCCTGACCAAGCCAGAATTTCTCAACTAGGGAATTCAGTGTGCAAGTGCAAAGGAAGTGGAAGGCTGATGTGGAGGGCCATCAGCAGAAGACTCCCCCGGCCAGCAAGCAAACTACGCCAAAGGAGGGGGTGGGGTGGGGCTGTGATTTGCTCGTTTGTTTGTGAAAGTGGGTGCTGTGATAAGGAGGACTGCAGCGATGGCGAAAATAACTCTGAGCATTGCAAATGAACAATTAATTCATGAAAATTGTACTGTTTTAATCTAGCACATTTTATCTTAGAAAAAATCATCACCCAATCTAATTCAATAAATACCAGGAGTACAGCATAGTCTAACTGAAAGGCATCCTCGTTATAACCATACAGCCCTTAAAATTATGAATTCCAGCATCTCAAAGATGTAACAACAACAACAACAACAAAAGGCACTTTCCCCTGAAACAATTATCCATGCATAGTGGCAAGGATGCTAAGTATACACCCATACATGGAAACCTCTTCACTTATTCAAATACTAAAAGCTGAAAAGTAAAGTGAAAGATTTAAGTGAACAAAACCCCAACCTGATTCCCTTCAAGTCAGTAGACCAGACTCGGTCCTCTCTATTTGCTTAATTCACTGTACTTAAGGAACAGTGAACACCTCTAACTTAAATAGCAAATATCAGACACCCAGCACCCAAATAATTACTAATTATTTACAAATCTCATTCAAGAATCTTTTTTAAACATGTTTCAGATGTTTAAAAAAGCATATTCTTTCATGAAAAAATGTAATGCAACCAGACAGACAGACTTTTAAATTTTTTATGCTTTACGTATTTTTAAGTAAATTGTTGAAAAAAAAAAAAAACTGAAGATAAGGATATCCTCCAAAAAATTAAAGTGGCATTGGTCACAGGTTACCTAGATTCCATTTTACTTCTCACTCGATCAGCTTCTATGTGTACCATGGGGCAACTTGCACACAGTCTTAAGTAACCAAACTTGGATCAAAGGTCAGAATTCACAACTAAAGTCTGATTTTGGGAGGGGGGAATATTTGAGTATTACAAGAATTAACATTTGTGAAATAAGTACACCAGCATTTTTTTTTTAAATAGGATAGAGGTGTCAGAACTCTGGGCAAAGGCCAGGGCAGCGTAGAAGTGAGACAACGGATGGAGGAAAGAAGACAGCAGTACACTGGAATTCTAGACAAAAGACACACTTGCAGGGAAAGGGAAAACCCAAAGCTAGAAACAACACTGCAGGAACCCATTTGCCTTCGTTTGTTTGTTTGTTTGTTATCATTTTGGAATCTTTCTAATGCACTGGTTTGGAGTTATAAGAATGGCATGGCTTCTGAAAATCAGGACTCTGGTACATCTCTCATTACCTCACCCTGGATGGTTAGAGCGGTCAACTTCAGGTGTGTGCTACACACTGAACTCCATTTATTATTCATCTAAAACAGTAGTTCTCAGCAGAGGCTACATTTCTGCCTCCAGGGGGCATCTGGCAACATTTTGGGAGATGAGAACCTTGGGGCAGCCATTGGCATCTAGTGGATGGAGGTCAACATCGTTGCTCGACATTCTACAGCACGCAGGACACCCGAACCGACAAAGTATTATCAAGTTCACAACGCCAACAGTGTTAAAAAGAAATGCCATGCTCTCTGCACCCTGCAGAAGCAAAAATCCTACTTCTCAACCCTTTCATGGTTGTCTAGTTAAAGATAAGCCACACCAAGAGCATCTCATTTTAGAACTGCTTTAAATATGGTGGATGGCAGCTCCAACTAAGAACTATGGTGCAATCCACTAGGAGATTCAGAGCAGGTGCACTGAAATCACAGGAAAAGGATTTTCTAATCCCTTTACTTCATGTTTATTGTAAGGCACCCAACGGGCCTTTACATCGTTCAGTATCAAGCTGTGTCTCTTCCGTGGTCAATACTCTAAAAATGCACTGACCTCATGAAAACACAGTATCTTTTTAATAGAAAAACTCAGGCCAATTTTATTTACAGGGAGAGATTTATGGGGGAGGCTGTAGAGGGTGAAAAATACCACCCAGCTCTTTAAAATGCAAAGTTATTTCACAGTTTGCTTGCAAAATGAGTCAGATCATTATTACTTTTAGTCATGCCAAGTTTGCTTCTTCTAAGCCTACTAGTAATGGAGAAAGAACGAAATAACCACCATCTTTCTGCAGTCGTTAAACCAATGAAACAGGAGCTTACTAAAAAGCAGATTTGTGCAGTAATATTTCTCTTTTATCACAACTGTTAGAAAAAGACAAGCAATCGCTGGAAGTGCAAATGAAGATTCTAAGAAATCTGTCATTTGCCTAAATACCTAGAGTGTGGGAGGAAAACAAACAAAAGGAAACCCTGACTCACAAATCTGAAAGCCATAACCTGTGAATATTTTCCTAATACATCGCTCTATCAAAACCTGGATTCACTCCCCCCCCCCGCCCCGTTCAAAAAACTGGAAGAAAGACGTCCACATCGGCTTTCAGCAAAACAGTGTTAAGAATGAATAAAAAAGCCTGACGTGCACCTGTCCAACCTCACCGGAGCATGCACCGCAGCGGAGAGGGGACCCTGGAGTGGAGGATGAGCACCCTGGCACCTGTCAGGGCTGTTTTCCCCCCCGCGAAGCATCTTCGTCTCCACTATGCAAGCAAACGTAAGCCAACTTTGGTAGTTTCCATCCCCCACCCAGGCAAAATCCAGCATCCAGCGCAGCTCCTGTCCTTACGCAGGAAAATCTACTCAGCGCCCTTTCCCACTCACTGAGTCGCCATATGAAGTTGACAGGCGAGATCACTGGGACCCCACAGAGGCCACACAAAAGGCGCCCCGAGGCCACCCAGCGTGGCACTTTCCCGGCGTGGGCAAAGCACAACGCGGCACCACACCTCTCACCGCGGGGTGTCCGTGGAAAGGGGGTTCTCGGCTTTTAGGTTCAGAATTGTCCCTCATCTAGGGAAGGCAGAGCTCAACTTCAAAGACAGGGTTCCCACGCGTTCCGCCGCCCAGCCACGCTCTGCGTTGCCCGTGGGGTCGCGCGACAGCCACCGCCGCGGCCGAGAAGCCGCCTGCGCTGTGCAGGGGCTGGGATGCCGCGCTCGCTCCCCGCCGTCCCCCGGCCCGGGCCCCGTCCCCACGGCCCCGCTCACCCAGCAGCAGCAGCTTGACCTCGCGCGCCGCCTTCTCGCCATCCTCCCGGAGGTTGCGGTCGATCATCTTGCTGCGCTCCACAGCCGCCTTGTCCTCGGCGCTCAGTGTGCAGCCCATGGTGGCCGAGCGTCGCCGCGCCCTCGGCGCCGGGGCCGGCTGGCAGCGCGGGCAGAGGC